AAAAATTTTTTCTGACTCTACCACTGAAAATGAGAAAAACCCTATAATTTTTGGCACGCTACTATTAAAAAGAGAGAGAAAAAAGTCACTATACAAGCTACTTTGTTCCTTTCACTCCACCTGATAGTTCTTAAAAATCTCAACAACTTAGGTAATGTGTAAAGATTAATTGTTGGATAGATATATAGTTAGTCAAACAAAAGAATTAGGTAATGCAATTGAGTTTGAGTTTTGATTTTCCTAGACAGGGGAGTTCTAGAGACATTTTGGCTGTGTTTAGAGTTATTTTTATTTTTGCTTTTCACATTTTTTGATAAAGAAAAAATAAAAACGAGAGAGAAACGACGTTTGATACAATTAAAGATAAAAAACGGAAATGAAAATAATTTTTTAGTTTAGTATAAAATGAGAGAGAAATGAAAAATGACTTTTAGTCGTTTTTTATTTTTTTGTTTTTGTTTTCTCATCTCTTGAGGAGAGATAAACATTAATGGATTTAATGAGTTTTTTTATACTGAAAATAATCTCTTAATATAACTACCAAACGCATTTTTAAAAATAATTTTTGTCTGATATTGAAAATGAAAAATGACTTTTAGTCGTTTTTCATTTTTTGTTTCCGTTTTCTTCTCTCACGAGGAAAGAGAGACATTAATGGATTTAATAGATTTTTTATACTGAAAACAATCTCTTTATAAAACTATTAAATGCATTTTTAAAAATAATTTTTGTCTGAGATTGAAAATAAAAAATTACTTTTAGTCGTTTTTCATTTTTTATTTTCGTTTTCTCCACTCTCGAGGAGAGAGAGACATTAATAGATTTAATTGATTTTTTTATACTAAAAACAATCTCTTGATAAAACTATCAAACACATTTTTAAAAATAATTTTGTATAAGATTCAAAATGTTTTCATTTCCATTTTCATACAAAAAACAAAATCATTTTAAACGAGTTCCAAACACACCATTTAAGTTTCCACCTTTGGTACCGTACAACTTTTGTGTATTAATTCTTTGGATTATCCTCATTAGTATCTCCTAAATTTGGGGCCATTTCTAGTTTAGTCGTCGAATTTTAAAAACTATCACTTTGCGTCATGAATTTTAAATTTGTCCAACTTAAATCCTCTTTATTAGAATTTCAATTAAAAGTATACCGAAAAAGAAAGAGTGCAATCACGTGGTATTTTTATTAGAAATTTTGTTAAAAATAAATAGAAAAATATCACACGGTCACACTTAACCCCCTTTTCAGCTTGATTTTAACAAAATTTCTAATAACGAGATTTAAGTGAGATTAATTCAAAATTTAATAGTCAAAATGATAGTTCTTAAAGTTTATAAGGTAAATTAAAACTGACTCTACAATTTAGGGGCGCCCGTAAGATTAACAATAATTATTTTCAATTGAGTTTCTATAAATAGATTAAAGCCATGGGTAAGCTTTTTTTGGCTGTAAATAACTATTCTGCATGATGAGAAGTAGCTTTTTTCTAATGGGAAAGGGAACTAATGGCTAAAAACTTGTTAAAAGATATACTAAAGTTACTTTTGTTTTTTCAGGGTGATCATATAATCAATGAAAGGCACTTGATTCATCACAACTTGCCGCATTCTTCAGATTTTTTAAAAAAAAAAAAAAAAAAAAAGAGTGATAATTAAAGTTTTGGTGTGCTGCACATTTTGCATATTTTATGTGGCTTCCATTATTTTGTTGTTGACTAAAGATGTTTTACGAAAGTTCTTAGCTTTTGGTGTGCTTATTTTATTGGGACTTGGGAGACTTGATCGAACGGAAGTTCACCTTTGTTGGATTTTTATCAAGAATCGTGCAACGAGTAATTTGAAACGATTACAATAAAGAATTATGTTTAAGGGTTAAATTCCCAAATAACCTAAGAAAAGTCCATGGCGCGTTTAAAACTAATTTCAAAATAATTTTATTTTTTTAGTATGTAAATAAAAATTAAAACGTTTTTAATCTCAGACAGAAATTATTTTTAAAAATGTGTTTAGTAATTTTATCAAGAGATTGTTTTCAGTATAAAAAACTCATTAATGTCTCTGTCTCTTTCTCTCTGCTCGAGAGAGGAGAAAACGAGAATAAAAAATAAAAAATAACTAAAAGTCATTTTTCATTTCTATCTCATTTTACACTAAACTAAAAAATTATTTTCATTTCTATATTTTTTTAATTTTAATTACGCCAAACACCGTTTTAGAAACGTTCTTATTTTATTTTTTTTTTAAAAGTAAAAAATAAAAACAGAATCAATTCCAAACATGATGACCGTAGTCTCTGATCCCAAAGATTTATGTTAGCTCCCTGTTACTTATTTTGCTTGAAATTATACCAGTCAGGAGATTGGATGTTCTTTGTGTTGTCTCGAAAAAAATAAGCAAGCCAAGTAGTTTATTAGTGAATATAAATATGCCATATTATTTATGTGTGGATGAGAGTATGCTATTATCATACACCACCACATGCGCGCGCAAGGCGAGAGCGATTGGCTTGGACTTTTATAATGCATCATCACAAGGATATATATGTTATAACAGTTATGTTTGCTCATATAAAAACACAGTTTTAATTAAAGATTGTGTCTGTTATATTCTTTTAAGAACCAAAAAAAAAAAAAAAAACTACTTATTATATGCTATTTTGTTGAGGTCAAACTAAGCAATGAGTTAAACATATTTAACCCGCTGCTGATTATCATACAAGGAATTTAAAGTACCTAATTATTTTTATTTAATTCTATAATAATTTCATTGCCAACAAATTTTGAGAAATAAACCTAATTTTATTTGAGTTTTTAATTCGAGTTAAGATGTGATGTTGTGCGAGAGCTTTTTTATTGTAACAAAAAAGTTAGATGTGACTGTTTTTAAAATTTTTTTACTGTAGCAAAACTCAAATTTTAAACTCGAATCAGCGAAAAGAACGGGACCTAAAGGGTCTCTTGCAGTTAAGGAATGATTGAGTGAATTTAAATAAAGGTCAAAACTTGCAGGGATATAATAGGAATACTCATCAAAGGCTTAGGGAAGTGGATTCAAAAAAAAAAAAAAAAAACTTTGGGAAGTGAATCTAGGTCACCCTAATAGCTTTGCTATTTGGTAACGACATGAATTTATCTATATATTTCTTTTGGCAGCTGTTGGAAATGTGGAACAAAATACTGTATTGATTAGACATGAAATTGAGAATGTTATTCTTTTTAATAAGTTAATCTTTTAGAATATAATTAAGAATATAACAATATCGATGTAAATTGAGAACTTGTGCCAGTTTAGTTCGCTGATTTGAATTTTTAATTTGAGTTGAGATGTGACTTTATGTGAGAATTTTGTACTGTAGCAAAAAAGTTAGACGTGATTGTTTCTGAGAGTTTTTTACTGTAACAAAACTCGAATCGGTGAAATGAACGGAGCCGCACATCAAGTAAAAAAACTGAACCTCCTTCCATTTCATTAAAAAAAAATATATATTTTAATTTATCATAAATCTAGAATACATTCGATCCTAAAATAGTACCTGTGAGGAGTTTCTTCCAATCAAATGTGTTATTCTTAATTTAAACCACAACTTGTTTAATATAACATCCTTTTTGGTAGAATGTTTAATAAACATCTTACATCTCAATCCGAAAGCTATCCATCCTTGAAATCCACAAATTCTTAAAATTCATAAATCTGAACTATATATTATATACATATATTCGTTACATATTTTAATCTCTCTATATATAATAACTTTACTTTTTTCAATAAGTATATACTGTTACATCGTTTAATTCTTATATATTACTGTTTACCTTTTTTTTTCTCTCGCAAATGTTTAGCTTTCACTTCCTTGTTTTATAACGGAAGGAGAAATCCAAAAATACCACTTAAATAATGCCATTTTTACATTTATATCATCTAGTAGTATAAATTTAAGATCTATGCTACTTTTTTTTTTTTGGGAAAGATTCATACTATTTAATTCACTTAAAAATATCTAATCTATTTATGTTCAGTGGCATAGATGAAAAGTTACGAATTTCAATTACATTACATCCATGTAATTTCGTCTGTAATGAAATTATGACTTATGAGAATACTGAAGAATTTGCATAGAATAGTCTTGAACTGGGATGCCTAAATAATAGGCCTAAGCCATCAATCTGTGAAATTCGATATTTTTAGGCCCGTTTATTTGGCTGATTCGAGTTTAGAATTCGAGTTGAGATGTGACTTTATGTGAGAGTTTTTTACTGTAGTAAAAAAGTTAAATGTGATTGTTTGTGAGAGCTTTTTATTGTAGAAAAACTTGAATTCTAAACTCGAATCAGCGAAGTGAATGAGATTGATTGGATTTAGTTGAAGAATGAGTACGGTTCTTTTAATTAAATTTTAATATCACGTGAATTATATAAATTTTTTTAATATTTTTTTCCTATTTATATGGTCACAAAAATGAAAGAATAATCGCTGAGATAAGAAAATGAGATTAATCTTGATATTTAGTTGAAGGACTCACGTATTGGTAACATATAAAGATTTTTCCAATCAAAAGTAACAGATTGAATTAAGATTAACCTCTTAATTTATGTGATCTTATCCCTAAACACCCATAACATAAAACTCGGCGAAAAAAAATGTAAATCTAAACATTTTTTTATACAAATATAAATCCAAACGTGTTAAAAAAAAAAAAAAAAAAAAACGTCTCAGTTAAAACAATCTACGAGAATTTCTTATAATCAAACTCTTTGAGAGATTTGCTCTAAAAAAAAAAAAAAAAAACAAACTCTTGGAGTGATTTTTGGGGAAAATAAAAAGCAAAAACTTATAAAATTAAAAATTAAAAGAATAGAAAAAGAAGGGACCATCGCTATCATGCGCCGTGATGAGGGACTATCCCTATCTTTCCTTCCTTTATATAATTCGAACCATAAGTAAAGCCCAATCTTTTTTCTTATTTTCTTCCTATTTTTTTATAATTTATTTTTTGGGTTTTTTCTTTTCTTTTCTTTTCACTCTCCAATCCAATTCCTCGGCGACTTTTTTGGTTTTTTCGTTACAAGTCGCGATCGGAGTAGCCGACTGAATCGCCGGGAGATCTCTCTCTCTACGCCTCCTGGATTTTGATTCGCTTCAAGGTAATGTTCTTTGATCTGATTCTCCGCGTTTGGTTCCCGAGAAATTGCCAGAAAGTAAAATGAAAGAACCGGACTTTCTGTTTCATTTATTTTTTACTTTTTCTTTGCTTTTTGAGCTGCGAGACTTTGCTCAAGTAGTCGCATTGTGCTCTATTATTGGAGAATTTCGTGATTCAGACTTTAAATTTCCATTTCTGTCATTTTTTTATATCTTTCTCTTCCGATTTCGAGCGAGTATTGGAAGTTATTTGCTGAAAAAGGTGTGCTTGTTAGAGTCATTTAGCTCATATTTTCTTGATTTTAGGTGTTTAATTTGTTGCTAGTGAATTACTAATTACTATTTTTGTATAGATTTTTCTTTTTGTTAATTATTATGAATCATAGGAATTAAATAGGAGCTTTAACTAGGTTTTTAATGGTTGACATAAACATAGGTATTCATCGAAGATCAAATCTAATAGTTCTCGATAAAGCTATTAGAATAGTACAAAGAATCGTTTTTGTTATGTTTTATTTTTCGGGGTTGATCTTCTTTCTCATATTCAACTTGAGTATATATTTTGTGCACTTTTTAAAATCCTAGCAAAATGGATGCAATTTGAATCTGTGATTACTGCTAAATCAGATTTAATATCACCGGATCTTGGGTGATGGTCCTACCCTGCATATTTTTCATGTTTATTTATTTATTACTTCATTGTAATTGTTACATGTGTGTGTATGTATATATGCACGTGTCTGCGTATGTATTTATGTTTTAACACAATGTCAAAACATGTATATCTTTTCTGATGGTGAGTTTTGGAACGGATGAAAGGCAGGTGGCTTGGTTCTTCAGGGTGAGGACAAATGTTATAGACAATAATCTTCTGTGCCCAGATGAGCAGAGCCAATGTTATTGGCAGTAGAAGGAGGAGGATTCTTCTCTTCTTCGGCGTCCGGGTATAGCAAAGGCCTGACCCTTCTTTTCTTGGGTCAGAAGAACGAAGACAAACCCATGAGAGTTTCGCCGTGGAATCAGTACCAGTTGGTGGACCAAGAATCTGACCCTGACCTCCAGCTGGCTTCCACGAAGAATCGACTTGCCCGCGGGTGCGCTTCCTTTGTCTGTTTTGGTCGCACTTCCGCCGGGCTTGACTCTCCATCTCCTCTTAAAGTTGGCCCTGCCCAACAGCAGGACGTCTTGCCAGGGTCTCTCGTTTCTGATAAGAGCAAAGATCAAACAGATGATCCTGATCATAACAATAGTAATGCAAGAAAGGTTTCTCTTAAAAGTAGCTTGAAGAAACCGTCAAACAGTACTTCAGCTTCTGTTGAGAGTGGTAATGCGCGTGTAAGGCTTGGTGAAGCCGGCAGTGATAATCTCAATAATGCTGAAAGGAGGAAAGTACAATGGACGGATGCTTGTGGGATCGAACTAGCTGAAATCAAGGAATTCGAGCCCAGGTATGATAATCTTATAAATCTCATGTGGTTTTGATTCTTTCCCTTTATTTATTTATGCTTGAAGTGTGGAGTGATGTTACATTTGTTGTTGTTGTTGGTGTGTGTGTGTGTTTTGTTTTGTTTTGTTTGTTTGTTTTGTTTGTTTGTTTTGTTTTTTTCAATCCGTTTGTTCAAGTGCATGTAACGTGAGATTGACCATTAATTCGCTGAGCTTGTTATTCTTACTTTCTTTTGTTTTTATTTTTTAAATAAAATATTTTAAGAACAAAGAATAAAGGGGTAAAAAAAAAATGAAAAGCACAAATTGCAAGGAGAATCAGAAGTGCTCCGAATCATGAAGAGCAGACCAAGTTGCAAAAGATCCTTCCAGCTTATTAGAGTTGAGAAAAGGTTGAGTTTCTCCTTACAAGAAGAGGCCTCCAAATGACATATAAAACATCTTAAGCTTTACCCTGAATGCCTCCAAACTCAATGTTTTATAAGGTTCATGCAAATATAAAGAGGGCGGGAAGAGAAGAACAAAGATAGATAAAATGTAAGGGAATGATGCAGGTTAGGAGATGAGAAGCATAAGAGCTTGTTTGTAGGAGTGAAAGTGGAAGGAGGGAGAGTGGTGAAGGGATTAGTCGAATGATTTTGGGATCGCTAGTTGTTTGGTAGGAGAGAAAAAGAATGGATTTGGAGAGGGATTTCATCCTTCAAATAACCAATTTTAGCCTCTTCAAATATGGGGAGATTGGGGAAGGTAATCTATACCAAACTCAATACGAATATGGTGCTCCCCTTCTTTATATTTTCCTCACCTAGGTTATATGCCTCTCTCTCCTCTCTGTTTTTTTATATATATATATATTTTTTTGCCTTCTCACCAAACAGAGCCTATGACTTTTAACTCGCTCAGAGGAGAGAATATCTTAGGGAAACAAATAAGAAATGAAAAAAATAAAGAAAAGGGGAGAGATATACAATAATTCCACTCTTATGTAAGATTTTCTGAGGATGAATTAAATATCAAAAACTCTTATTAGGCTTTATTGGTTCCAGAATGTAACCTAATTTAAATCCAAGCTTGTGCATTCTCATATTTAACTAAAATTTCTGAAATTCCAAGTCTCAGCATTTATCTTAAGCCAAAATTTTCCCAACCAGGTTAAATCGAAACCAACAGACATGACTGCTTGTTTCTTTTCCGTATCCTTTGGCAATTTGGTATTTTAAGTTATAAACCCATGTATGGTATGATTGAAGATTAGTGTCGTCTGGTTGTTAAGTTAAATAGCATGGGGTCTGGAGCTAAATTAGTTTTTAAAGTTTGTCGTGTTTGGATTAGTTTCCTCAGCTAGATTTTTTTTTCTTTTACAAAAGTTTGGTTGAGAATTTGTGTTCAATAGATTATACCAATTTTAGACTTTTGTAGCTGGAGAAATCTTTGCCTGGGATGGCGATGGTCACAGTAATGTCAATTTAGGAGTTGTATGGTGTTAGATATTGGCTTAGTTTGGTATTGCTTTTTCATCTCAAAATCAGCTTCTGCTTGTAGCAGAAGCTGATTTTAGTGTTTGGTAAATCTCCTCAAAAGTGCTTTTTAAAGAATTTTTTAAGAATCTACAGCCAAAATCAAAAGCAGCCTAAAGACAACTTTAGCTTTTAAATTGTGCAGGAATCAACATAGTACAATTAATGACACTTTCATAATATCCATAATACCCCTAATAAAATTTAAAATTTATAATATTTCCAATCTAAAATTCAAACTCGTAATATAATATAATATAATATAATATAATATTGTAACAAATAATATCATAAATATATTAATAACTCTAATATTATTATTTTATCCAATAATATGATATTATTATAATCTTTATAATTATTTTAATAGTATGATATTATAATTATAATATAATTATAATATGTTGTTGTA